TCGAATCAATTTCTCTTCAATCTTGATGCTAGTTTAGGGCAAGGTCATAAAAGACTTTAGACACTAGGAGTCTAGTTGTGTGACGTGCTAGGGCTAAGCGCCTAGACGGCTAGAAGGCCTATGTAGTGCCTAGGCAGACTAGGTGAATTTAATTAAATTTATTAAATAACATAAAAATAGTTGCCTACTTACACTCTAAAAAAACTATTTTTGTATTGAGAATTTGAGAAAGGTAAAAATTAAGCCATCGTGGCATTAGCATCATCACAGACTAATGCAGCAAAAATTAAAAAAAATCCAAAATCCAACCAAATTTGAAAATTAAATAATTCATAATCTAAAATTGACATCATTTTTCATCACAAATTAATCAATAATTCAATGAATCAACATATGTAATGGAACGGTGCATCTAGAATTCAACACCATTCAATTGTAGTATGAAGAAAATTAAAGATTACAATCTAAAAAGAAAATAAAAATGGAAAACTTGCTTGCAAAGTCTAAACAAGCTGCAGAATAAGCCAAGGCGATGGGGCGCCCGAGTCTAGGTGACGACTGCTGCGAGAGATGGTGCATGTAGAGTCAAATTCAGCGTGAACGAAGGAGAGAGAAAGAAAAAAAGAAAAAAAGAGAACACATCTGTGAGGAAAGACAGGGAGAAGAGAAATACGAAACAACAGAGAAATAATAGGAGTTCATTATGGGTAGGTTACCCAAAAAACCTTTAACTTAATTAAATAAATTAGAAAAATAATGGAACCATAAACCCTGAACCGTGTAACCTGGCTAGGCTGATTTTTAGAATAGTAGTTTGGGAATAAGAATCATTAGCATGGGTTATAAAAGGATATACAGTTGGAGAGCTTTGCTCAGCCTATATGCCAGACAGTCTTGGCGGTGTTTATAAAGTAATTAGGGCGTGCTTGTTTGCCTTCACTAAATCTTCTTGGACTAGACTGGACTAGCTATTAATCCAATACCATGTTTGTTACACGCATGAATAGATTTAATGAGATTAGAGCCAACTGGTCCTGACTAAGTCCTTCATTAGAAGCTCTTAGCGAGACCCCCCAATAAGCACTGGATTGCCAAGACCGTTTGCGTCCTCGTCTAGTTGTTCTCCTCGCTTCTTTGTTCTGGTCTGGTTAACCGACCTCATTATACCACCCCACCGACGGCGATGACAACGATCATCGACGAGATGTACTTGTTTTTGGCTCCACACTTCTTTGACTTTATAAGGACGAAAGCGAAGCTGAGTTTACCACAGAACGCTCTTCACTGCCGGCGACATAGCCATTCACGTCGATTGGAGGAGGGGATATGAGTGGGTCATCGGAGAAGAGAGGTTGGATGAGGAGACGATGGTGGGCTCGCGGTTGGAGGTTTGATTCGGAGATGGAGGATCTCAATTACACAAAGGTCTGATAGACTGATTCGCTTCTTTCCATTTTTTTCCCCCAATTTTTATTTTTATTTTTTTATCTTTTTGATTTAGGGGAAATTTATTGGCAGTGTGGATTTATTGTTTGATTTGATTTAAATTGGGCATGTAAATCTTTGGTTTTGTTTCTATAGAAAACGAACTTTTGGAGTGGATTATGAGTAAATTTGCAATTTCTTATCCTGCGTATTTTTCAATTTAGGATTTGATTGTAGGTTAGTTAGTATATGATGTTGTTGTATGAAATTTTGTTGTTATGATTGTATACGGTCCACTTTTTACTGTTTTCATTATCCCATTTCTTAGTCCGACATAGTACCAAACGCTTCACTAAGATAGTCTAGTTTAGTCTATTTTAAGCCAGTCCAGCTTAGTCTCAGAAGTTAATCCAATCCAAGATAGTCCGGTGTAACAAACGCACCCTTAACATCCAAATCTTGTCCAAGTATTTTTGTTTTTTGTTTTTTTATTTTTATTTAAAAAAAACACACACACATTTGTGATCTTTTATATAAACTACATATTAGTTAGGGAACTTTAACGAAAAGCTTCCGGTACTGTTCATTTTAACAAACCACATTTTTACACTAAAAAGTCAATCATTGTACTATTCACTTTACCCTTTATTTTGTCCTTATTGTTAAAACTCAAAGTTTTCAAGTTTTTTTCATTAGTTTTTCTTATTAATTAAACACAACCAAAAGAGAGTGAAAAAATATTTTTGTCTTCTATCACAACAAAAATGTTAAGGACAGTGATGTAATTTCCCAAAACAAAATTTCACATTTTTTTATCCTAGTTTCACCTATAAGTGATTGTATTATCTCTAATTCAAAAAATTAAAAATTAAAAAAACAAATATCTCTCCCTCTTCCTACTCCCATGTTCTCTCTCAATCTCTTCCTCTTTCCTTCAATTTTAAAAACAAAAGCAAAAAATTTCACAAAAGTGTGTGGGCATATACTAGTATGAATTATTATTCTAAAATTAGTAAACAAGCAATTAAAAATTATAAGTAGAGTCCTACCTCTTAATTTGACAGAGAACCAAACGTTTAGAACATAGTTAGTACGCCAACTAATTATTCAGTACTTATACAATGTACAAATTAGTCTATCTGACTGAAATAGCCAGTAATGTGAAACGTACCAAACGAGGCCTTAATGTTTGGCAGTAGTCTAGAAAAAGTGAGTGCGATACCAATATAGTGAACCCATATATGTTTCACACTCTTACAGGAGGGTGGAAATTTTGAATGTAATACCAATATATTGGACTCATGAGTGTGATATGAGTATATTGAACTCACACTAGTGTAGCAGTTGTATTATAGGTTTCAAACTCAAGTTGTCTAGTTCTTATATAGAGGTATCACACTCAAACTACTTAGCCTAAGGAAGCGCATACTCCACATGAGTCCCTTCTAGTCTCATTTAAGTTAGTCCCTAAACACATTGACACATGGTATTATAATCCTAGCTAATTCAATCATCTGGCTAAAGAGGTGAAACATTAAATAAATAATATATGATTCACATGTTTGGCTCTTAGAATACATTAAATAAATAATAAATTTAAGTGTTATAATTTAAGTAGAATAATAACATCACGTGTCTGTGTTTCAGATACACCGAAAACATAATTCGTTTAAAGGGTTGTAATCTTGCTTAAAATTTAAACCCAAGACAAAGCTAATGGTTCTTTGGGATTATTGTGTTGTTCTACACAATATTTGTCCACTAATATTTAGTGCCTTCACATGTCTAACCTATTTTCTTGGTCGTCCCAAAGTGAAAGACCATCTCGAGGCTTTTGTAACACTTGAAAACACAAGTTGACAACTTCTCAGATGATAGGTATAACGTCGACCTCCTTTCTGAGGGGATGTGTGAGTTGTGATTATACCAATCTTAAATTTGAATCCTCACTTACAAAGAAGTGACATGTTATGAATTTGCCAAGCTTGATTGGCGTAATGAATCTCTATTTACTTCTGATATCGTTTGTAAAGAAGTGTCAAGTTATGAAATTGCATATGCAAAATATTGTTCCTTTCTAATAGAATGAACACATCGTTTCGCGTGTAAGTTTACTTATTGGTTTTACGGAATAATGCAAGTTATTTATCGGTTCTTGATGATGCGTGTGTAGAAGAGGTGTGGGTTCTAATACCCCCAACATCATTCTTGTATCATTGTCTTGGTTCCATGAGTTTCTTTGGATGAACTAGTGTTGATTTGGGTGTTACGGTCGAGATTTTAACGGCAAAGTGTTTACTTTGGGCTTTTGTGGTAGTTGATTTCATTTTTTCTTTTCTTTTAATACAACGATATATTTATACTAAGAGGTGAGAATAATAAATTGGTTTCGAATAAGGAAACTTTAACGAAAAGCTCACAGTACTGTTCATTTTAACGAAAAACCACATTTTTACACTAAAAGTCAATTCTGATACTATTCAGTTTACCCTTTATTTTTGTCCTTATCATTAAAACTCAAAGTTTTCAAGTCCTTTTCATTAGTTTTCCATGAGATTTGAGCTTCAGAAATTTCACTTACAAGTGAAGAAGAATATCATTAGAACACATTTATTTGGTTCGATTTTCACTTTTTAGGTGAAGTGAATCAAGCCAGACTCAAGGTATACCTAGTCCACTAATGCCCCAAACAACATGCTATATATCTATAGCAAGTCCACCCCACTACGATAGTAATTGCCCCATCAACTGGAAAGACAATTATTGTCTTAGTAAATAGTAATTGCCCGAGTGCATTTTAATCTCGTAAATGAATTGCCTGGGCAATTGGCATTAAAAAAATTATATTTAAAAAAAATTAATAACATAATTTCAAATAGGACTTTTAACTAATCTTGTCATGCCGTGTGTCATTATCTGAAATTACAACCCCGTCCAGGTCATGCCACGGTTCATATTATCTTAAATTATTTTTATTATTTCTTTTACACTTTTCTATATTTTGATATTTCTAAAAAAAATTTACTAAAGCAAAATTCATATGGACCGCTGGATGACATTTTGTTTTTGCAATCCAAGAGTCCAGGTTTTGCCACGTGGTCACATAGTCTTTTTCAAATATTTTTATTTTTTTTATTTTTTTGAATTTTTAAAATTTGGATTAACACAGACCTCAAGGCTCATGTCCTGGATTAGGCAATCCCTGCTCGACTGCTTAGTCAGTTGGTCTTGGGCCCACTGGATTGCCCGAGGGCGTGGGCTGAAGAGGATTTTGTGTGTTTTGGGGGATTCAATCATCCAATTGCTCAAACACTTGGATGGGTTGGAAATGCTCTAATGGGCTGGAAGTTCATATAAATGGGTTGGGCTGGGCTACAAAAACTACAAGAAACAAAATGCAAACCCCTTGGTGCCCAACCCCTTCCTTTGTCCAAACCTTGACAATCCATCATCTTGTACCCAAAAAGTGAAACTAAACACAAAAAAAAAAAAAAAAAAAAAAAAAAAAAAATGACGACATAAATATTTAAGTTAATTAATTAAGTAATTCTTTCCCAAGAAATATGATGAAGATAACTATTTTGGTAAAACCCAAAACCCTACATGGTGGTTAGTTTGCCCATTTCATTATCTGCTGCTTCTCCCCTCTTCTTTTTTGGCACAAAATTACAGACAAAGCATGCAGATTACAGAGCTCACTCTTCCAACTCCATTTTTCTGCAACTCCGGCACCGCCGCTCACGCTCCGACATCGCCGGCGGCAGTCCCACTCTGCTAGCTTGTACAACTCCCACCCATTTTTCTACTTTTGGTTTCTGCACTTCAGCTGCTTCTAGAAAATGGTGGCGAAATTTCTATGATTTTCTGCGATTTTGAGAAGTTGGAGAGGAAGGGAAAGATGATGGAGAAGATCAAGAAGAAAACGCAATTGCAGGTGGAAGCCCTCGAGAGCTTCTACTCTGGTATCCTAATCTCTCTCTCTCTCCCCTCTCTCGCTGAATTTTGTTATTATTGCTCTGTTTCTGTATTGGGTTCCAAATTGAGTTACCCAATTGACTCTTTGATTGAAATTAGCATTTTAGATTTTCATTTCTTGATTTGGAGTTTCAAATTTGGAATAATCAACTGCAATTTCTCTTCTGTGTGTCGATTTTTTGAAACCGGTCAGGAAGTAGTTGCACAGTGCAACTATTGAAGCAATTTAGGATTGTTTATGCATCTGGTGCCATAGATTCTGCAGAATGATAGCAAACCGTTGGTGTTAGCCACAAGAGAATTAAACCCTATATTTGTATTTTTTTTGTTTGTTTATTTATATTTTAATTTTATACAGAGGAGAAGTATCCATCACGAACGACAATGGAATGCCATGCTGCTGCGTTCGGATTGACTTACAAGCAGGTTCGGGGTTGGTTTGTGGAGAAGAGGCGGAGAGAGAAGCGAGGAAATAGAACCAGTGAGTTGGGAGCGGGTGCTACAAGGATAGATAAACACGGCCCCTCAAGAACAAAAGCTCCTCCATCGTCGAGATACATGAAAACAAGTTTGCTTACTAAGAAGGAAAGAACGAAATGGAATCATATTCAGGAATTGTTAACTCCAGACTACATTCTAAAGAAGGTGTTCCGTAAGGATGGTCCTCCGCTTGGTGTGGAATTTGACTCTCTTCCCTCTGGGGCACTTTGCCATTCTCCACGTATGAACCGAGAAACTTTCTGGTCTGAGAAATCATAGGAAAAATGAATCATTTTTGTTTCACATTTTCATCTATCTGATATATATTCTACTTTTCAGTTTGTTTATAAAATATGCCATGCATCAGTCACAAAATTTTTATTAGGTTTTTCGATTATTGATGAGAACATTCTCTTCATTTATTTTTAGGGGAGAGGCCTAATTCTTTTGACATATGGTTGTTTTGTAATTTTTAAGGTCATTCAGAATTAGATTGTTTTGGTAGTTTGCTTGTGTTATTCTTCACTGAGTTAATTCTTATTCCTGTTGCGGTAGCCAATTGAATTTTTCTCCACTCTGTTCCTTGTGATGTTATTTTCCTAATTGTAGAGATTTTCTCTTAATGTGATACATACTTTAAGAAGGTTTCATTCACATTGTAATTTCCATTTAGATTCCCCAAATTTTCTTTCCCCTTGCAAAGAGAACGACAGAGCAACTAAAAGGAGAAAGGTAATGGATAGTTTATTTTTGCTGCCTTTAATTTTTATAATTTTCTTGTTTCTATTTAAGTCACCATAACCATTCCCACATATATTCTTACCCTTTTCACTTTTATTAGGTTATCAAGCATGCTGTAATTAATCATCACGATTGCAACACGAGTGCTCTGGTTAAAAAACATGGTGTTGGGAAAGGTTTTATGATGAATCATCAGGATTGCAACAAGAGTGCTCCAGTACAAAAACATGGTGTTGGGAAAGGTTTGATAACGAATCATCAGGATTGCAACAAGCGTGCTCCAGTACAAAAACATGGTGTTGGGAAAGGTTTGATGACGGTTTGGCAGGCAACCAATCCTAATGCTAGGGATTTTCCTATTGAAATGGGTTTGGCCAATGGTGAAGTTGCCAGTGTGTCACTAATTCGAACATCTGTATTGCAAAAACCAGTAACTCAGAACAGAAGATTGCAACCAAAAAAATGTGGTCCTGTAAGTCATACTGTCTTGCTTGGAGATATTTGAGCAACGATTTTGGGATGTCATCTTAAAGATCTATCTTATTGGTTACTTTTAGAAGTTGTCTTGACAGTTTGTTGCCTTTTCAGAAACAGGGATGGGTACGAAATAAGTTACAAGAAAAGAGGAAGCGTTTAGCCAAAAGAAGAGAGGCAAGTAAAATGTTGTTATTGCGAATCTGTGTTTCTAGATAGCAGCTTTGATACCGTTCAGTTTTCTTTTGGATACCAGATGGAAGCTAACAATGAGAACCAGAAGTTTCCAGGCAAAGAAAAATGTGAACTTGCTTTGGAAGGAACAGGTTCCCAAGAACATTCGGATAAGATTGCAATGCTTGTGGATGATGAGGAGCTGGAGCAAAGGGAATTACAAGCAAGACCAAATTCACTGGGGTGCTCAGATCATTTTACTAATGGAGATCATGCATGCTTACTTTGCAAAGGTTGGTTTGAAAGAAAAATTGAACAAATTTTCCAATCTAAAATGGAATTCTGTATAATATATGTTTGCACGTATACTATTTTACTATTTTGATGCGAATAAGAAGTTTCTGTAATTCCAGATTTGCTGGCCAAGTTTCCTCCAAATTCTGTTAAGATGAAGCTACCATTTGATATGCAACCTTGGGATTCTTCTCCAGAGATTGTCAAGAAACTGTTCAAGGTACATAATGTCAAATTGCTTGCAACTTGATTCTGTTGAGTTGCAAATACAGGATACATTGTAAGTGAAAGATGTCATACATTTCATCCGTTGGAATTTGTAGCTTGTTGTCACACTTTAGTTATTTTTTGTTCAGAATGATGTTTCAGGGGTCTGTTTTTCCACAATTTCTAAACACACTTCAATCATTTTGCAAAAGGATTTTCCTCTTACTATCATTCTTGTAGAGAATTAGGTTTAGTCTATATGGATTAGATGTAATTAAGCAAGTAGCAACTTCCACCGCAAATGTGTGTTAGAAGCCTCTGTATTCACAATTTCACATTACACATATTTAACACCTCTCTTTTAGGCATATTGACTTTTAGATACTAGCTAATGAACAAAAGTTCTTGCGAACACTTCTTTGTGAAGGGCTGGGGTAGGGAAAAAGGAGAGAATTTTGTATCCTTTCAGTATTGATCTCCCCTTTATTCTTGGGAGTGAAGTTGTGATAGCTCATAACCATTCCTTAGTTTTTTGGATTCATTGGTCTTTTAGCTTTAGATAACTAATAAATATGGTCTCAAAACATTCTTTCTCTTTCATCTCATCTTTATAGTTAGCCAAGATATAAGAACATTTTTAGAGACTGTTGAATTTATTCAACCATTCAAGATACATCACTGAGCCTATGATTGAATGTATTCTTCATCTTGACCTTCTTTCAGCTTATAACACAATACTACTAAGCTACCACGGTTATGTCTTAAAACTTAAAAAGTGTACAGTTAATTAGCTTTTTTCACAACTGATCAGCATGATTAGAAAATTTGTGTTAAATTATGGAGATATGATTATTTATTATTCTTTGTGGAAACTGGCAAATGAAAAGATCTGTAGTGTTAAAGCTCTACTCTAGATTGTTGCTGTTGTTATTTATTGGGTTTATTGGTAGATGTGTCCAAGGGCCATGAATTCAGTTTACTAGATTTTGTTAAGTTATTATACTAAAATATATTCTGGATTGACTTTCTTGGGCAGGTTTTCCATTTCCTTTATACGTATGCCATTATGGTAGATATAAACTCCTTCACTATTGACGAGTTTGCTCAAGCATTTCATGACAAGGTTCTGATCTTTGATCCAACATCAGATTTATAGTGTCTTCCACTTGCTCAACTTATTTCTTTTGTCCATGCCCTTTAGGATTCCATGCTACTTGGGAAAATTCACGTGGCCCTTCTGAAGCTTCTTCTAACTAATGTTGAAGCAGAGCTTTCCTGTGGATCCATACCTCATTTGAGCAAATCATGCAATTTTCTTGCATTTATTCACTCGGTGAGTTACAAGGAACAGTATATAGTGGTCCAGATTCGGATAGATCATTTGATTTACAGTAATGTCATATGCATTTTATTTGGGTTCATACATGCCACTGCATGCCAACATTGTGAAATTTGTCATGATAGTAGTTATATGATTGGGCAGGACCGCATGATACTGGTTTTCTTGTAATTTTTCTGGTATGAATGTTTAAGCATAGATGGATTTCTAGTCCGTCCTTGATTGTAACTTACTTTTCCTTTTCAGTAGATGTTTATTCGTCATATTAAAAAGTAAAAAACTTCTGAACAAAATCATAATCAACTATTAGTTGTCCAGCCTCATGCACTTTAAGAAGATCTACTTGTTCTTTGTAGTATCTCAGAGATAGTTTTTGTCAAGCTCTTTTAGATCTCCTAAATTAATTGTTATTTCATTTTGAATTGAATGCAAGTACTCAACAACTGTCATCTTTATAAAATGATTTGGCAGGTTGAAAACCACGAATCCACTCTGCAATTCTGGAAGAGATCTCTAAACCCTTTAACATGGACAGAAATACTGCGCCAAGTACTAGTTGCAGCTGGTTTTGGTTCAAAGCAAGGTGCAATGCGAAGGGACACCCTTAGCAAGGTTTTCAAAACTATTTAACTACCATGGTTGATTCAACTAATATGTATTTATAATCAACACGTGTATTCCACAAATTAAGTGGTACAGATGCTCGACATATGTGTTAATTACCAAAAACCTTGAGGGTTCAGAGCCATAGTGGCAGTGGTCATTTATTACATGTCATTACCCCAGATAATCTCCTTTTACCTTGACCTAGAGCCCTAGTTAGATAGGGTCGGTTGCCATACTGGAGGGAAGACCAATGTTAAAGGAAATGATTTCGTATTTTGCGCTTTTTAATAATATCCATTGAGCATATTTTTTATTTGCCTCCACTTGTCTACAGCATTGTTTGCTATAATGCTTACAAATTCCATGGAGGTGTTATTCTCTTCCATGTGGTAGTTTATGTTATACTTTTAAAAAGTTTATTTATTTTTTATTTTTATTTTTATTTTTTTGATTGCATAAATCTACCTATACACATGAAACTTGTTTAATCTCTGTTATCTAGGAAATGAGCCTTATGGTGAAGTATGGTTTACGTCCTGGTACTTTGAAGGGCGAATTGTTTAGAGTTCTGCTAGAGCAAGGAATTCATGGGTTGAAAGTTTCTGAGTTGGCAAAGTCATTACAGGTATGTTTCTTAAACATGTTATTATCTTAACCTTTCTTATGTGTTAATCATTAAGTTGATAACAAACAAGCACATCATTGCACTTGAATTAGTGACGGACTTTTTTTTTTCTTTTGAAGATTTCTGAATTGAACCTTTCCAGCGAAATAGAGGAACTAGAGTCTTTAATTTGTTCAACTCTTTCAAGTGATATTACATTATTTGAGAAAATTTCCTCATCCACATATCGTGTCCGTATTAATTCTTCGGGAAAGGAAGTTGAGGAATCCCAATCAGATACCGAAGACTCTGGAGCAGTTGATGACGAGTTTTGTGACAGTGGTACATGTAGCAGTGATGATGATTCTGGCTGGAATTCAAGAAATTCCAGAATTAGGAAACTGACTTATACGAACAATGGTAGAAATAAAGATAGCATGCTGACAGTACACACTGAAATCGATGAGAGTCATCCAGGTGAAGTATGGTTGTTAGGACTGATGGAAGGCGAATATTCAGATTTAAGCATTGAAGAAAAGGTGAATGCAATTGTAGCTCTAATTGATCTTCTTAGTGCAGGATCCAGTTTCAGGATGGAGGTAATTTATAGAATCTTGGCATTGCCGCTGAAATCTTTTCTTTATTTTTATTTCTTTCCCCCTGCAATGAAGTTACCCTATTAAATGAAACTTGTGCTGCCCTTTGTAAGATAATATTATATAATAGTGCAAACAACCTTAGATTTACAATTGTTTGACAGTAAATATTATTTGAATATTGAATGAGATTCAAGTAGCCATCGTTGTTATAGTGGTTACAACATTAATGTTGATTCCTATTAGTGCTTGCCTTCAAATTGGATCCATCTTTTGGGTTGAAAATCTGTGACCCTAATGAAATGTTGATGGGCCATTAGTGCTAGCTTCTTAGGTTTATTCTAAAAATACAAGTAAAGAAATTTCTAGCTTCTTGTTGTTGTTGCTATTGTTTTGTATCATGTGTTTCCCCACTGTGTTCTTACTTCTAGACGGGCTTCAATTGTACCTATATTTTTCAACTCATGTGTCATGCAGGGTAGTTAAGTAATTTTCCACAGATTAATCATGACCTCTCATTTTTCTTGTAATTGAGTGTTATAACCATAGTGTGCTTATTCTTTTGTAGGATCCTACAAATGCTGTTGCTGAATGCATTCCTAGCAGCCTTCATTCTGGTTCAGGAGGAAAAATTAAGAGGTTATCCGCTAACCAACATAGTGATCCAAGGTACAACCTGGGTCCATGCAGGACAGATGAGTCATGCAACAGAAGATAATACATTAAATTTTCACCCAATAGATTCTTCAGCAACAATCTCAAAGTTTTCTGAAGAGAGATCCTCCACAGAAGGAAAAAATGGAAAAGAAAAAGAAGTGCAGTTTGACTTACACCCAATGCAATCTGTGTTTTTGGGTTCTGATCGTAGATACAATAGATACTGGCTTTTCTTGGGCCCTTGTAATGCGTATGACCGAGGCCATGGAAGGGTTTACTTTGAATCTTCAGAAGATGGTCACTGGCAGGTTATTGATACTGAAGAGGTATTCATCTGAACTTCTGTTATACAGTCAACGTGATTATAGTACATGATGCCTAACCTTGTATAAGTTCTAACTGTTTACTTGCTTTTGCTTAACCGAATGCAGGCTTTGTGTGCCTTGTTGTCAGTTTTGGATGACAGGGGTAAACGAGAGGCTGTTCTTATCGAATCTGTGGAGAAACGAATATCGTTTCTCTGCCAGGCAATGTCAAGTAGAATGGTAACTAGTGGTAGAATTGACAACTTGGCGCAGTCTGATCAACCTGTGCTGGATAACGTTAGAGAAGATACTTATTCACCTGTATCTGAGGTAGACAACTTATCTGGAACTGCAAATGATTCTCCATCTTCATCTGGAGCTGTGGTTCTTGAAGTTAGGAAAAAGGGAGAAGAACTGAAACAGAAATGGAAACGGATCCAAGCATTTGATTCATGGTTATGGAATTTCTTTTACCTGGAACTTAATGCTGTTAAACTTGGTAAACGATCCTATTTTGATACACTTCATAGATGTGAAAGTTGTCATGATTTGTATTGGAGAGATGAAAAGCACTGCAGAATTTGCCATACAACATTTGAGCTTCATTTTGATATGGAAGAACGGTATGCCATACATGTAGCCACATGTAAGGAGAAAGAAGCAAGTGATACTTTTCCTGAGCATAAGGTCCTCTCATCACAGATTCAATCACTAAAAGCTGCAGTGCATGCAATTGAGGTAACCTGTCATTTGGATTTTAACTTTGCATTTTCTGTTATATGGTTGTTGTAGTTGAGAAATGAAAACGTCTCGAGTTAAAAAGATTGAAGTTAACTCCTAGACTGGAGAAAAATAAGACTTCATTTGACGGTCAAGCTAGGAATATGGCTTGGATAATTAGAATGTGACTTGTCAGATATTTGTGCAATCGAATCCAATAGCTTTTCTTTTAAAAGAAAACACAATCTGATTTCTTATTCGCTAAAGTGCAATAAGATTGTATGTGAAGGGATGGCAGGGAACAAGGCCAAAAGAGTAATTTATAGCTTGTGTTACTGAGAATGGGCTGAGGAAGATGTATAGTGCTCTAAATGGAGCAGAATGATCAAATAGTATCTTCTTGCCCCCTCTGGTTAGTTTGGGCCTCTGGTAGCTAAACCACAAATAATAATGGGGTTATTCTTTGGTGTGTTTTGGCCTTGAAATTTTGATTGTCGGATGCTTAAAACATGTTTTCTAAATTATATATTGAAGACATTTATAGACGCTTCAAATCTCTTAATTTTTTTTCTGTGCTTTGCTGATCTTCATCTCCCTCTGCTTTGTGCAGTCAGGCATGCCTGAAGATGCTTTGCTGGGTGCTTGGAAAAAATCTGCTCATAAGTTATGGGTGAAACGGCTCAGACGTACCTCATCTTTGTCTGAGCTCTTGCAGGTTTCCTACGTTTCACTTTTCAACATTATCTTTGTTTATTATTTAGTCTGAACCAGCAGCTTCTTTATTGTTTATTCCTGCAGGTTCTTGCAGACTTTGTGGGTGCCATCAATGAGGACCGCCTGTATGAATGCAATATTGTGCAAGGTTCTTGTAATTTTGCTGAAGAACTCATTGCGTCCTTTGCATGTATGCCGCACACATCATCTGCAGTTGCACTTTGGTTGGTAAAATTAGATGCCTTAATTTCTCCGTTCTTGGAAAGAGCCCATTCTGAGAAAAGGAAAGAAATTAGTATCAGAGGTAACAGATGAATATAGTGACTTACAATTGTGTATATATTGAAAATCCCGTTGTCTGAAATACTTCTTTGTACTTCAGGGAAGCATGCTCCAAAGCAATAGCCCCGCCTTTTTTCAGGAGATTATGCAAATGCAAATTCAACCCCGCATTTTTTGACAGATTGAGGAGCATTTATGTATCCACTGTACTTGCTCTAGGACAACCACTGCCAGATTGGTAACATTGTTGCAGGCTACCAATCATGGTACTTCCTATGAAGCCTGGCTTTTAAGTTCTCTTTTGTTGCCATGCACGGCTATATCGAGTCATTAGATGTTCAGCATTACGGAAACTTGCACATTGAATCCATCCAAGTTTATATCACGGAACCTTCCTCCGGAATATTGCCGCTGTCTTTGTGGAAGATTCAGATTTTGTCCATGCGTGCTTGTTCCTAGTTTATGAAAAGAGGAATAAAATATCACCAATGTACATTGCTGTAAAGGAAACAAAATATTTTTAGTTTATTTACATTTTAGTGGAAGTTTAGAAGAGTTGAAAGTGATCTTTATGATATTCTTTTGTATGCAATTGTAGGTGAATAGTATGCCAAGCAATCCACTTTGCTGCCAAAAGCTTGTTGGTTTGGTGGAATTTGTTTTTCTTTATTATTTAATCATCTATTTATATTGTATTAGTCCAATGTGCAGGAAAAAGAGTGGCATCATTTATGTTTGCATTTTCAGTTGAAAAATTGTGCTTGGATTTGCTTCATTTTTGTTGCTCGATTGGCAGGTTGTGTTCTAACTTGTAAAGAGATCGGATAGACCTAATTCATATTTGGTTCATTTGTTAGTCAGAAGATTATTAGCTTCGGATTGTATTAGGTAGGCTTGGCAAAAGGGTCGTGTTTGTCGTGTTCCTGTCGTTTTCGTGTAACATCTGCTATCTTAACGGGTTCTTAACAGGTCGGGTCATCTTGTTATAACACATTAAGAATTTTCTTTTTAATTTCTAAATTTGCACATAGTACATTGCCACATAAATATTACTTTGAAAACCAAATCGAAACGAAAAACCCCAATTTTCACAAACCCCAGAAACGAAAAATCGCAAATTAAAGAAACGGAACCAATCTTAATTTGAAGCAAAACCCTATATTTTAAAAGTAATTCGAAAGAATCAACAATTACCTCGAGATTCGCTCGATCCAGAGAAAGAGAATCGGAGACAAAAGTAGCAAATCGACTGGTAGTAGGTTACTAGGACGTATGTGGTGACAGTGGCGTGGTGGAGGGAGACTGGAGATGGTGGTCGTGAACTTGTGGTTGGCCTGAGTTGAGGTTTGGGACTGAGATTCGAGAGTTCAGTTAGAGTGAGAAAGGACAGTCGCTTCAGTTTGAGCCTTTGAATGTTAGTCTGATTTAGGGCTGAGAAAAACATTGGACGGATGAGATTAAACCTCAGCTACTCAAATAGTCATCAATTTTCTAAATATAATATAATATAATACACACACACACGTGCACACACACACACACACACACACTTAATTATTAAATTAATATTTTTCTTATTGTGTAACAGGCTACCCATGTGTATACTTGATCAACCTGTTATCTTAACAGGTGCTTATCAGGTTACTTGATAACGATCTAATTCGTTATTGTGTTGATCCGGAAACTTGTTAATTTTGTGTCGTGTTGGGTTAACGGATTATGTCAAAAATGGCCAGGCCTAGTATTCGGATCATTGAATTTAAATTGGCCATCCATATGAAGAAAGTGATTTAAGGTATGGGATCTTTCTCACTCTTGTGTCATCTACCTAGTGTTTAAAATATCGGTCTCCGTAAAAATATCGATATACAAATTTGTGATAATATCGATGGATATATCGAATATTGATACCGATATCGGTTATTTTTTATGAAAATAATAAAATTTAAAATGAAACTTTAAGAAATGTCAAACACTGCTTTGGACGAAATATAAAAGTTCCTTGATATTTAAGCGATGTGCAAGAAGGATCGATGAAATCTGTCAATTTTAGCCTAAATTAAGAGTTTCCTCAATATGTGGTAAAGTTTAGACTTCAACCCCTTTTCATAACTTTTTTTATTTTTCGTATATATTCATGAAAATATCGACAATATCGAAGAAATTTCGAACACTGCAACTACCATATACCCTTTGTCGAAGCTCTCTTCCATTGCAATTTCAAATTATTAACAATATTTGAGTTCACCTCATGGGTGCACCATTTTGTTTATCTAATTGTGATTAACGTATTTTTACTGTTCAAAAATCAAGGTTTTGAAAGACGTTAGGAGCTAGTCAGACGGCAGGGCTGGAGCCTAGCTGGACTAAACGGATTTAAATAAATTTATTATATATATATATATATATATATATTCAATAATTGTGAATTTGAGGTTATAAATGAAAGTTCAAATGATTACAAGTGTAAATAGGAAATATTTTTCAAACATCTTATGAAATTCATGGTGAATTTAAAAGAAAAGTGAAAGCATCAAATATGTATGTATAAAATAATTGGCTAAATGAGATACTGGGGCACATAAAACGGAAGTGGGGCACCACCACACCAGTATTTAATACATGTTAGGCTGTTAGTTGTTATGTCTATTTTATTTATTTATTTATATATATTTATTTTTGTCAAATGATAGAATTGTTAGGTTAGGAGCCGATAGGGTTTGAACTTACGCCGTGGTGCAAAGGCAACATTCATCTCCACTACTATCTTTTATCATCATTATAATATTCAAACAATAACCAAGCCTTATAAATGACTAAATTATTGATTGATTTTTTTTAGAGACATTATTTAGATAATTAATAAGATGGACACTTTTGATTATGAAATTTATGCAATAAGAATTTGTTAGTCACACAATTAGAGACTTTGTTTAGATGATATTCCTCACTGACTGTTCTACAATATGTCCCTATACTGCTGTTCAGGCTAGATTTGTCCCTTGCATAACTTCCTTGGTCTTGCCTGTCAGGCAAAGTTTGGTGCTTGGTCTTCTGCAATATAAGTTTGTTATTAGTTTGAATGGTGCCTTTGTGGGCCTTTGTTAGGCCTTGAGGCTCACAATCAAAGCTAATATAAGTCTGAGCATGCCATTGTTCTTTTTTATTCAACATATTGTTTTATTGGTTGTTTAGTTCATTGTTTACTTGCGCCACAAATCATTTCGACTCCTTGGTTTATCAGGATTGTTCATAGATGAGTTAAGTCTGTATTAAGTTCTTTTCTTGGCTTTGGATCAAGGACTTTTTATTTATAGTACCATATGTTCGTTTATGAAGGAAATTAAGATCATTCAAGTTATTTCCTTAGTTATTAGTTTAGGCCGACAACAAGGAAACAAGAGTTATTAGTTTGACAGGATTAATCATGGATAAACTAATACAAAAGTAGTTAAAAATGACATAGGATCTAATGAAAGATGCAAAAACAACAGTTCAACCTCATGGAAGTACAAATAAATGAGATTTGGGCTAGACTACAACCTTGGCAGACAAGATTCGTTTTCTTGCATACAATTCTCCTTGTATTTTACAGAGATTGAAGTCTTGGAAAATGAAAATATAAACAAGGTTTACTAAACGGATTTGATACTACGACAAAGGGAATGGTAACAAGGCTTCTTAAAACTGACAAAAGATAGTTTCTATGGTGGACTTGCAACTAGAAAAAGGTAAAGGGTGACCATACTAAAGCTTTCTGGTTTCTCGTTGTTGAGTGCAGACTTGAGTGTTGCTTGATTGATTGGTTAAGAGAAAGTTTTCTGCTAGCATCCTTTGCTGTTTTAATAGACTTTTAGCCCGAGTGTCCAAGCCTTCCTTTTGGTGGCTTCTAAGCACAATGAGTCATCATCTGCTTTTTTAATTACCTACCCATTTCATGGAAAAATTCTTTTTGTTCAGGGTAGTTGCCCTTTGTCACTTCTCACTTATCATATAGGCTTGCTGCCTATTAGTTGCCATAAATGGTTTTTGAATTCATCCTGGGCTGCCACTTTTCCTTACCCAATTCTTTTCTGATTTTTGCATGTTTGGGCCTTCAATTGCTTTGAGCCCAATGTAAAATAACCAAACAGTGTCCCCTTTAATCATTATTAAGTTTGCTAATCAAGATATTGATAATGATTAAAATTAATTGCTTGTCGAAACTAGGTATTAGAGCCATTTAACTAGTTGATTTGAATAAACCTTTGCATTAACCCATGATTTCCAATGTTAACTACCTGTCTGTTATATAACTTCCACTTTACTTTCTTTGGACATTACCTTCAACAAGCTTAATCCCTAGTGCCAACCAATTCTCTCGAATTTTCAATCTTTCTCTAACTTAAGTCTTGCTACCATCTTCACCCTTTGAAATCAGCAATGGCTCCTCAATTGCGTCCTGCATGTGAGTTTGGTCTAGGTATTGTCAACCTTCGCCGTCATCTCAACGGCCTTCATCACCCTTGGGCTGTCCTTAATCTCCATTTTATTTCTTGATGATGGGGTCCACTATTTGGGACATGCTTGCACCTCCAGAGTTCCCGTTGCTGTGGAAAGCAATATGCCTACTACGAAGTGGTTCACTCTTAACCCCTAAGAAGCTGAGGAGGGCATATCAGCTGCTAAATGGTCAAACTTCAAGAAAGACTTCCCTTCCATGGCCGACACCGCTTGGTCGAAGTTGGTGGACGAAATAGAGCCTATCTGGAAGAAGAAGTGGATGTCAAATGGCAGGTGCATAGATGACTCAGGTGTTCGGGCGAAGACCATCAGATAGGTGTGTATATGTTACACATGATTGATCATCACCCTCTTACCCAACTACTGAAGGTTTAGAAGCTTTAAAGTCCATCACTAGCTTGGATTACAACTCCATGACTTTCAAAAGCTACATGACTTCCTTTGCAGGCTTCATCCGAGTTGCCAAGAAAATGTATAGCCCGCCTTCTTCCACTGCTGACCAAGCTCATGAGCATATGTAATTCTTCTTTAATGGTTAAACGAGCATGTGTTCCCCAACAAATCCAAGGGAATGAAGCTGGAGTGGATCCCTTTGGTAGAGGCCTTGCATTTATTTGATGATGTGGCCATTAGGCCTTTCATCTTTGCCCATCTCTACCATCTACTTTATGAGATGACAAGGGGTCCAGCTCTGGCTTCAATGGTAATTCTTAGAATTTCAAGCTCCAAACTTAGAGTTTCCTGAGGGAGTAGCTTATGCCGGAATTTTGGCAGAGGCCCCTACTACCAGCCATTCAACTTTTACTTGCCTCTAATTCTTCAAGATCTACAAGACCAGGACCAATCTTGAGTGTGATGCCTCAGTGCTCATGAGGTACCTTTGGTTCTCGGACAATCTCTTTCAAGACTATTTTAGGGAGGATGCCAGTAACTTTTGCAAGGAGAAATTTATTAGTTGCATCTAGCAAAGAGACTTGTATTGGGGAGTGAGAAGCAACCGAGCGAATTATGAATGTGGCTTGGAGGTCTACCACCCTAATTTTTGTGGTAGGCAACTGGGATTTAGGCAGGTTATCTAGTTCCCTTCTTTAATTCAGTTCATTATGGGACTTCCTATTGCCTTTGTTCCCATTCAGAGGTCATTATTTGGGC